TATATAGACTTCAGCAAAGCATTTGATGAGGTACCAACAAACAAATTACTCTTCAAGCTGGAAAATCCAGGCATTGTCGGACCTCTCCTAAAAGGGCTTGACGATTTCCTGGCTGGTCATGGGTAGGAAGTAAGCATAAATTCCAAGTGCTCTACTTAAAAACCAGTACTTGGTGAACTCAAGGCTATTTTCTAGACCCTTTACTTTTATAGTGTACGTAAATGAACCCCAAAGTATAGTTGATTCCCCAATGCTGACGATGTGAGAATCTAGCGAGAAATATCAGAAGACGCAGATGCATGGGCACTTCAAGTAGACTTAGATATTGTGATTATTTGGTCTGAAGCGTGGCTGATACCTATCAACGCGGCAAAGCGTGTTTGCATGAACATTGAGGGTACAAAGGTAAATAGATACAGGATAGAGGAAGTGCCTGTACCCATAGTCCGGTTTCACAAGGATCATGGGTTGACAGTGAGTCGTGGTCTTAAGACCACGGCGCACTGCCGGCAGGTTGCAGCTAAGGGATTTAGAACACTGTGAGCCTTATGACGGACACCCATCAAGTTAGATACTACTATGTTCACAACATTAAATGCAACCGTGGTGAGGACCAAACTTCATACTGTGTTCAGGCTGCAAGGTGACTCGGATATCCTGGAAAAAGTACAGAGGGCAGCTACCCGTGAAATTTCAGGACTCGGGTGTTCATCATGCAAAGAGAGACCAGAAAAGTTAAAGCTCCCTACTCTGTCTTATCCCAGATTAAGAGGTAAGAGGTGATTTTGATGCATAGAATTGAAGATATGACATGTGTAGAATCCAAACTACGGTTTGGATAGATGAATAGCCGTCCAGGTACGTTAGACACGCGCCCTTACCCGTCGGAATCAAAACAAGTAATCGGGTAAATAGCGGTTCTATAATTCATCATAAATTTATATGTAAATCGTTACCTAAACAAATATTACCACCCGGCTATTCAACCAATAATTGTTCAATCAATCAAATCTAAATTACAATAAATAGAGAAGTTGATAAAAGATGAGGGAAAATTACCAGTCACAACAAATGAACGTTATTCTATCCTGACTGGATAGAATACACACAAAAGGAGGAGCAAATCAATATGGCTACCGCTAAGAACAAGTGTCAAGTAAAACAACACTGATGCAGTTCGGGAAGAAACACGAAAACTTAGTGAAGGCGTAATAAAAACTGGAATAAAATACAAATATTAACAATTCAAACGTAATCAAAACACAACACTGTACAACTAAGGGGATCAACAGGAACAAAGGACAAGTATATACATGGAGGGATTTTCACAAACACACAAAACATCCAAAATGGATCTTACAACATGTATTTGGAGTTTGACGACACTTTAACCAGTAACACCTCCTATGATCGAAACGTGCCCACCAGTTTAATCTGATGTCAGAAGCATAGAGTTTCGAAGATATATTTGATAGACTATCAATATATTGAGAATTGACTGAACTGAATTGGGTGGCGCTTGTAGAAGTTAGGTATAGCGTACCCACTCGTGACATGGTGTGGCTGCGTGATCGAGCGACTTCAGGTAGCTGAGTCCAGTAGAACAACTGTGGTCAGCATTAAATGTCGAAGGCCTACAGTGCTATTGATTTATGGAATTTATTTACCGTTACGGAGTACTAAGAAATGATTTTGGACCTGTAGAATTATGGTCTACTATGATATTAGTACTGCTCTTATAATAGACCTAATCCTAAATTTGTAGATTTGTCATGATATAACTGCCTAATCTATAAGATCTTACGTAGAAGTCACACCATCGACCACACCAACTCACTGTATCGTATCAATTACCAATACATGATGTAGAACAAGGTTAGGCTAGAGAAGGAACAATATATTTAATATGAATAGAAGATATAAGGTAACATTGAGATGGACCACGCCTGCATGGTTGAGGCATGCAATCCGATCAACTCCAATTCATTCAATTATCTGTTCCCGCCTTTTCCATCGTTAGGTATTTCCCCGCGGTAAATATTGAATATCTATTTTCCGAGTAGTGTTGTGTTCAGCTTTGAAGATTGTGTGGTTATGGTCCAATGCCACTACAGACCTAATACATCCTCTTTCAATTTGAGTCCCTAATGTTATTGTACTCTGATGATGTAAAAATCCGGAGATAAATATCAGGAGACACAGACGCATGCCTACTTCAAGCTGACTTTAAAACTGTGATTGGCTGATCTAAAAAATAACCGATATCTTTCAATGAGGCAAGACGGGACCGGACTGTGAGTGCTGGTATGTCCCCTACGATGTGCTTATTTACCTTCATATCCTCGGCGTGACGGCAAGTCATGATCTTAAAACCACGGTCCACTGCCAAGAGGTTGTAACTGAGAAGTTTAGAACGATTTGGGCTTCAAAAGAACATTTATCCGGTTAGATACCATTGTGTTCACTACAGTATACATAACCTCGGTGCGAAAAAGGAACTTAAAATGTGTTCAGACTGTAAGCTCTTGTTTAAAAGATGACTTGGACACCTTGGGAAGTGTAAAGAGGGAAGCTGCCCGAAAGATTCCAAAACTCCGAGGTTTATCATACAAAGAGCGTCTTGAAAAGCTAGGCCTCTTCACTTTGTCCTACCACAGGTTACAATACAATCTGATTTTGATGTATATAATACCAAGAAATGATTTTGGACCTGATATCTCCTCTCTTTTTCTTCCTACAAGATTGGAACAACTCAAAAGACATAGCAGGCGTGTAGAAATGCCAAGAAAGAATAAAATACCCGTAGCACACAGGTCTTTACACGAAGTCAATAATTTTTGAAACTTTTTGTCCGAAGAAGCGGTGTCCTCACCTTTAACTTGCCCATGCACGAGAAGGCTGTGTATTTACAGAATAATACTACAAAAGGACTAACATAGGCCGTAGGCCTTCTGTCCTTTCTAAACAAATCGGAAATTGAAATAAAAAAAACAACGAAAACCTAGAAGTGTTTGATTTTCGTACCGTCTATTCTTCTTATTGATCTTTATCCACTGCGACTCCGTTTAATCATTCGTCGAGATTTCACTGTCAAGAAGCGTTTTAGCTTGACTCAAGCCACCTTGAGCTTTTGGAGACCTGGTAAAAGACTACCGCGTAAATTTTGTATTTGAAAATAAAGAAAACGGCACAGGGTGTTCCCGGACTTAACCGTTTTTGATCTGGCTTTCAATGATTAGTCTTACTACTGAAATTGCTTTATAGTTAACCAGCTTGCGTTACAACGATTGGACAGATCATACTTAGTATCATAATCGTGACAACTCTCGATGTTCTTTTCTGTAAATCCAATAAAGACATCAGAGATAACCACGGAAAATCTGCAGCAGAAGGCGAAATCCTCTTTACGTACGTCGCTACTTGGGGTACCTCATGTATCCAGTCAGGTGATTATCAATTTCGACAAGGCTGCATGACGCTGATTGTAATCGCCAAATACTTCGAAGTGTTGGGATCGGTTAATCTATGGGATACTTGCCGCTGACGCCCTGTACGGCAACGTGAGGTCGGAAGGACCAAACCACTTATTTCGTCTAAGATATATGTATATATAAACTTTGGAAGGCTTTCATTCCTTTAATACTCGATTTATTTGAAACTATCTGTAAAATAGATGATTTCGGAAGCTCAGTAATTAAATCTGCTTGAGGAACTAGGTCAGCTCAAGGATAAGGGTCAGAAACTATGCGAAGAGTTGTCGAGTCGACGTCAAGCGCAGAACGCGTTTTGGCAGACGAATACTTCCGAAACAGCGATCTGTTTATTCTTACTCTCTTAGCATTAATTGATCATGGTATTCTACGCAATAATTTTACGTGGACAATTTAGAATTTAAACGTCTATGTTTCGACCATAAAAAAGTCTGCAAAGTATGAAGTAGACAGTCTATGATATGTTATAAAACTCGCCAAACACATAGATAGTTCCACCCTACAAGTTTCACGAGTCGAGAAAAGTCTTAGTGTCTTGATTATCTATGATTCAAAATCAAGTGTGAAGTGTAACACAAATACCTTTAAAACCAACTGCCCAATTTCGGCTAGCCTGGTGGAAAAACTTTTCACTCAGTTTTCAACATTTATATTGTCTTTATTAGTGTAGATCATTAACGTAGGTGATCTATGTCGATGATTGAGATCCATTTGAGCTTGACGGGAATGGTGTAAATTTCTGGCTAACATCGAAGTCTCACGTTGCAGTTAATGCTCAACGTGTACCGCTCTTTCGTCGTACCTACTTTGACGACAGCATAAACTGTTAAGAATAGGTAGAAGAAACAGTGTGACCACTGCTACGTGGGCAAGTCCGTAGTGTGCAGTTAATTGATACACCTGGTTATCCCTGACCTTGAAGAGGATCCACAAGGTGTTTGACGTTAGTGACTTGCCTTCTGAATTATTCAGTTAAGGCTCGGCGGCATTTCACTGACGCTACAATATAATAAAAACACAGTTTCTTTCACTTCAGGAGAATTGAAATACTCTGAATTGTATTCAAAGACTATGGGATTCATTCGTGGACTCAAATCCAAGTTTTAAAAGGGGCGGTTTCAATCACCAGTTTGTTCTTTGGAACAAAGGCCACACAGAGGCAGACACATGATGATTTAAAGCACCTTCAATATACTCGGACATCTTCTAGAATAATTACGCAGCTTCGGTTCTAACAAAAACCTCAGAGGGGATACCTAAAAACTAGAGGTGTGATACTGAAAAGTGGACCGTCGATATATCTTTTATTTTAAACTAGTAGTCAAAACTTGAATTTCCTTGTCATTTGAGATGTTCCGAGTATTTTTGTACGAATATTTCAAGGGGAAGCTGACATTTTTCTCAATGACCAAAAGTTGTGTCAGAGGAAGAAGTCCATTAGTCCAAAGCATCTTCAAATTCGTTCCAAACCCCTTGAACCACATGAGCAATTTGTTTCAGTTCCTACCATTTGTCCCTGAGGTCGACCTTTACAGAGGCGGGGTGGGATGAAGGCTGTTGGTAGTGAGCGGCTAAGGCCGTTTCTTGTCGTCAGCCTCTCATTTATTTTATTTGCATCATTGCTTGTATATATCACTCGCCGGTTACCCTCAATTCCAGAGTAAATACATAATATTCTCTTACTTTAGCTGCCAGGGAACATCGAGGACACTTTAAATTTCCTCACAATGTTGACGAGTTAAAAAATATTGGTCTAGTCCTGTCAGAATACCAAGACAATTATTACTGGCAAATATTAATTCTGATAAGCACCGTTTTCATATTGTATCCTTTTAGTTCTACTTGTGTGTAATGCCGATGCTAATCGGTTCAATAATTTTTTTTCTCAGGAAAACGATAACATCCTTAACACGTAAGGTTATCCGCCAGTTCTTAATAGCAAGAAGCTTGTCAGTTTTATTTTGCTGTCATGTGCCGGACGTCAGTCATATTTTTGAGTTTTCAAATACATCAGGATTTTCTCTGCTACTGAATATGTGAGTTCTGTTATTCGGCAGACCATCGTGATTGGTATGACAGACAGGTATTTCTGTCTGGTACTTTTTAGTGCAACTCACAGTGATTTGAGGACCATTCGAATTCAAACCTAGACGATGTAAAAACCCTTAAGAATCAGTTTATCTCCATGAAGTCTGCGTCCGTCTGTTCCTGTTTCTGAGGGTCGTTTTTTGTTGCGAATAACGCGGACATATATTTTAGTTACTTAGAGTTTGTGCGCATCATGTAGCAGCATGTCTCCGTAGTACAAGCAAGGGTTACTCAGGTGCTTCTGTTAAGTGTCATCTTCAGATTGTCTTCCTATTTCATTGGTCTTATGGGTCCTAACAACAACTGCTAGTAATAGCTTGTTAAATAATGACTTGACGTGTTCTAGATCTTACTCAAACCTTTTCCTTGGACTCGACAGTCAATGGCGAATTGTGAATTACATAAGGTAAACATTTTGTGACCCACCAAGTCCTTATCTTATCGTTGGACATTTCTAGTTCATTTTTCTGCATCTCCGCAACCGCTTCCATATAGATAGATGTTGTGGAACAAAACATTTTGTGCAGCTGTCACCGCTGTTGCTTGCTACTCTTCATAGATTAGTTTTCTACAACAATTACTTTTCCTGATCCTCCTTTGATTAAACTTCGAAATTTAAAAAACAGACATAGTGATGTGCAATCAATCCAGGACACTATAAAGTTTGTTTTTGCAGAAATCAAACAAAAATACAGGAACGGTCATTAATGCGGCGAAACCATCAACAGATGCTTCCCAGCTCCGCTAACTAGAGAGAGAAGTCCAAGTTCGAAACATCCTCAACAGTAAACAGACTTTAAATTCTGACTTGTTAAACACCCCAGTTTCCAGTTTCTAGGAATCATATTTACTCCATATATTTGGAAAACTAAGTGTGTAGATGTTGCCTCGTGTATATTGTTAAGTTTCTAAGTATCAGGGTTTGTGGCTGGTATCAGATTACTTGGGGTTTTATTTTACCGTTTTTTGATCTTTATCGTTCTTATTACGTGCACATAACCGTATTATGTAATCTCATTACGTATAGATGACGATAACCAGTTATCGTTTTCGAGTTTACTCAACGATTCGAATTTAGTGGTTTAGACAAATGCCTTGAGTATTTTATTCTGAGTTTGAAATATACTGAACTTTAGATGGTTGGGGTTTATGCTAACTTGGAATAAGTAGTTAGGAATAGCGCTTGTGCTCATGTAATCACATTCTGATTACGAAACGTGTATAAAGAGCCTCACTTGTGCTGTTAAAGTTGGAGATCCCTTTCTGTCAAACATGCTAATGTGTCATTACTTGGTGTTGTAGACACCTGTTTCGTAAGGTTAATTTAGTTGTTCAATCCAGATGTTTCTTCCATTTCTACTGTACTAAGATAATATTTCGTTCAAAATGTTAGTCTGTCAACGTAGTGGCTTTCTTGGGGCTCTAGTCGCTTCGTTTCACGGCCGATGTATTATTGCTTAACTTATGTATCCTGATGAAACTTTTTAAATTGTTTCTTAACTGAAACATAGCCTTCAGTCATTCATGATACCAGGTTCGGTCGTGTGTGTGGTTCTACTGGGATATCTGTTCCCTTTCCCAGTCGCTGTCATTATTGTAGCTTTGGTAAGCCACCACAAAATTATCGATAAAGTTGTATTTAGTGTTCGGCGATTGGGGCGTCACTGTGCTATCTTCTCGTTGGCTTTATCGGTTCCAAAGTACTGATGTATTTCATCCCTGAAAAAATTGAATTATGTCGTCAAGTAGTAAGTTCGGATCATCCATCTTTTAGTATGTTTCAGATTCAACGGTATCGACATGCAATGTTTTTTTGTATATGCTGTTTGCGAATCTGTCCTTTCATCCCAAATTGGCTTGTGAATATTTCTTCTCCAATAATCGATATCCCACTGGTTCATTTTTTCTTTGGAACATTTGTAGGTAAGCTTTTTACACTATTATGTCGGTAAACTTATGCGGCTGTTAAATTATTCCAACACTTATACCGGTGTTTAAAAAGACCTCTCATAAGTGATCTGAACTATCTTATTAAAAAGTAAGAAAATCAAAATCTATGGGATCACTGGTTGTCCCCAGCCGACCATCTCTGTTTGGAGTCAACACGACAAGCCCATTTTCGCTGATTTGATCTGCATATTTTTTCTGCTTTAGTGGTGTATAACTAAAATTTCTTGTAAGCTCATATAATTTGTATAATTATTATCATTGGTCCATACACTCAGTTTCCAACTGAATAATTAAGTTTGGACCTTTGACTTTGATAGTGAGACTGAGAAACCAGATAATCGTCACAGTAGGTTTTTAAGTGATTTAGTGAATAAACCTGTAATCGGCCATATAGTTACAAGTTGAATAACTTACCCTGTTTTGTGTACGATTTTTCCAAATTGCAAATAGATCTCACTTATATTTTGTATGGAGTACTTCATCGATATTTCAGCATTCCTATATTTTTGTTTTCTAGTATTTATTTCAACTTCATGTAACACCACTCTTATCTTTTATTTTTCTATTTTTTTTTACAGGGGTAGTTCCATTATCATTGGTTTTCATTAAAGCAGGAACTGTGCTTCAAGAACTCACAGATTTAGGCGTTACTTCTTTAGCTTCATTTTCAACACTGATTATTTTAGCTGGTTTATCACTTCTACCTTTAGTCTTTCGTAATCAACTCCGTGAAGCATTTTTATAGTCGACTTTATGTTCTCTCACTCTTGTTATGTTGATTGATTTTGTGTTCATCACACATTAACTGTATTAGCTAAAGTATCTAGAAGTGACCACATTGTACATATTTTTTGGTGGATGTTTTAAAATATTTCTGATCTATTTTAACAGTGTTTAATTGGATCCTGTGATGATAAAAGCAATATTGCGGAATTCTTCATCTTTCGATTCTATTTCTGTGATCTACCAACTATTAACACCACACTTGGTTCTTATTCACGCTATTTTTCCTATTACCTATTATCTTTCAGTGATTGTATACAGCTTGTTATCAGATTGTTTCTTTTGTTATTTGGGTTTAAAACTCAGTCATTACATTTATGTTCATGTGCAGTTGATTAATTTATGTTAATATTTATTTGCTGTTACAGAATCTGCCTTTATTTAATGAAGTGGGGAATCTAGAGATCGTTGTTGGACTAATACCAAATAACACGAGGCTTCAGATGTGGTCTTACATAAACTGTAGTCTGTAAAGACTAGCGTTGTCAAGTTTTTCCGGTTGGATCTGTGTATATACTTAAGGAATTCCAGTTTTTTCTATTATACGCCTCATATGCCTTTTGGCAGCATAAAATTATAAGCGTTAGTCGTCTTGCATTGATTTCTTACTTCAGGCTGATGAGTTACTAAAAGCGTATCAAGTCGAAATCTTAAGGTTTTTCTGGGAAAATATGACTCATCAGTTGCTTAACATCTTTTTATATTATCCCGTACTGAGTCGTTCGGACTATAATTTGGATACGCAAGAACCTACTGTCGTTTGACACTGCTTCGGTTTGGGCACACGGGCAGTATCACAGCCCTCACACATATCAAATGAGATCTGTGTGACATATGTATTTGATGCCTCCTTGTACAAATGTCTATGTGTTAAAATAAATAATTGACACTGATATGGAGTGAATAGTATCAGGATTTCGTGTAACTTATTTAGAGGTGTCATTTAATTTATTGTCTCCGTTTGAGATGCAATTTTCATATCCTGTAGATGTGTATTGACAGTTAGATATTAAAGTTCTAGTTTTGGGACGAACTTTTCTGGTTTTGTCGTATCTGCTCCTTAAAATGTATAAACCAAGTTTGTTTATTTGTTTACTTAAGCATATGGTATGGATTATGAAGTATGTCACAAAATATGAGCACTGGATTTTGTTGTTTTTGAATTTACAAAAGATGTAAAATCTATTTAAATTCATGAATGACATTTACGAGAGATGTTGCTTGGAAAGTTAAGTTTGCTGGCGTCAGCTAGAACAGATTAATTTCTCATCAAGTTCTTAACATCAGCGGCATTTCTCGATTCAGATCTTCACCTGGAAGTGTAACTGTATCTCAATAATTTAACCTCCGCTTATAAACACTAGTCAACTTAATTGGTAGTTGGTATCTTAATTCTTTACAAAATATTCACAAGAACCTGTAATCTATTGCTGAGTTACAAAAACTAATATTTATTCATCACTTATTTGTTTAAACACATAAACATTGATACAAAGGAGCACCGAATCCATATGCACCACATAAATCACTCGATTTGTGTTAGGGCTGGTATACTACCCGGGTGTCCAAACCGAAGCAGATGGTTTTCTTAAGGGGCCACATCCGGAGCCTTCGACCTAAAGGTCTGAACCATAAGGCAGAAGAGCAATGTAAGGAGGTGCAGAACCATGGTAGCCGGAGACCGATAATTGGTTTATACGCCATTTGTTGCTTTACGACCCTGTGTCACATGTTCATCATTGGTTTGGAATCAAGGATTTCCAACTCCCCTAGGTGGATCCTCCATATCCATCGACTCGTTTAAAACGCCAGACATTCACTTTTCGTCCTCTTAATTTCGTAAACAATACCCTCGCCGCGAGAATATCAAATGAAGAACAGAAAGGTTTTAGAAACAATTAAGTTGAATTTACGAAAAGGGTTTACCAGTGACACAGCGATCAGCTTTTATCTATTCTAGAGCCTAAGAACTGTAAATTTGAATGTTTAATCATTAATACTTAAATTACATACCATTTGATTTCTATCAGTTATCCCAGAATATTAATTTGTAGGAAGAAACAAAGAAAGACATGTACTAATCAGGAATATAATCTCTTGTTACAAAATATGTACTGGCTAACAAAATTTGTCCCTGTATAGAAAAGCTTACAAAAATAATCACTACTAAGCTTAAAACATATACGACATTCACAAAAATAACAATGATTAGTTACACCTTGACATGATGAAAGAATGAGCAAAGGAAAAATGGTATCTAACAATAAACCGGTAAGAATTTCAATAATTCGAAAAAGGAAATATACTCAACAATTTTCTATTGTAGTTTAGTTTCTTTCTTATTGGGGTGTTGTCTATTATTGTTGTCAAGTTAAACAAGAAAACAAATTTATCAAAAACCAGTAAGATACTGAAGGAAAACAGTGATACTTATTATTGTGCCTATCATTACAAATACAATGAGAATGGCACACACACAGAGAGAGATTAAAGAAATAGACAATACTATTATTACTGTCATATAAAAAAGGTATCTGGAGGTGGAAAGTATTGATAAATGCGAAAATCTTTACTGGCTATAACAGTTGGTTAATGAGTTTGTTACATTGTCCAAGTAATCGTTAGTGGCAAATTTATCTAAGTAATTCGGGTGTATTGGATTTGTTGATAAATATTGTAATTGTTGTCTTAAACTTTTTGATGCTGAGATACAACTTGGAATTGTTTGATTATCTATAGTTATTGAATAGACTTTTGCATGTTTAACATTACTATGCATTGCAAACACTAAGTGACCATTCATATTGAATAGTTATATTTAAATTGTTATGATTGACAACTAAAATTGAATAAACAAAGACTTGAGACCATTCTTAGAAAGACTACGACGTGTGAGATTATGGTTAGCGTACATCAGCTTTGTACACGATAAGTTGTTTTGCCTTTTGGGTGGATTTAGTTGTGAAACTTTCACTGTATTTTTTGATAGTGTCATCAATATAGTTAAGAAAGAAGTGAGCTATTCGAACTTCTCAACATTTTGTAAACAGGTTGTTTTTCTGACAACAACAATCAATCAAATCCTAGGTCGACAGAACTTGTTAGTTGATGATGGAGAAATCCCAAGTATGGGTTGATAATATTCTCTAGAAAAACATTGAAAGGTTCACTAATAAACTAACCAATACAGAGAGCTCGAGATCTAAAATCCTCATTCTGAGTTGTAAACACGTTTCATCCTTTTTATTTCACTAGATTTGAGCTTCGATGTTGTAACTTAATGAGTTACAAAATAAGAACTTGTCTGATGGAGAGGTGGCTTATTAGTTGAGTCGCAGATCGGAAAACTGCCTAATCTATTAGATTTTCGCACAGTCGAGTAGTGTCTAATAGCCTTAATAAGAAATGCTTGACCTAAAGTAAAATACATAAATTTCCAATTGGTAGGAAATTACACTAATAATGTATTTACTGAATATTATAACTTAACCAACACTCGGAAAGTGGTATTCTATTTCGAAATTACACTAATCACCAGGAGACAGTTTATCTCAGTGTATTATAGCTTTCACGTTAGACTTTTTATTTTAAGTTCACCAATCATTATTAGAGTGTAACATTATTTTGAGTTGAATAATAAAGCTTACATTTGAAAGATAGATAATAAAATACTATATATATATATATATATATGCCCTGTAACGGCCGAGAATGGGGAGAGTTATCGCTCTCTCTCGAAATGCTCTCACATGACGACGTGCATACAACCACTGTCAGGGAAATCCTACTCACTGCCTTCTCGTGGCAGGGGTGTTTTATACGAAATTGAGAGAACGAAAAGCGAATGTCTGGTGCTTTAACCGAGTTGGTGGACACAGAGAGTTTACCTGCGGAAGTTGGAAAACCCTGATTCTAAACCAATGGTGCATATGGGCTCCAGTATTCTGAAGGAACAAATGGTGTATGAACTAATCTTTGGTCACCGTTTACCATGGGACTGCATCTCCTTACGTTGCTCCACTGCCTTGTGGATTAGACTTCTAGTTCAGAGGCTTGCGTAGTGGCCCCCTAGGAAAACTATCTGTTTCGTTCTGGGCACCTGAGCAGTATCCCATCCTTCAAACAAATCGAATGATTTATGTGGCACATATCTATATGGCGCCTCCTTGTATCAATGTTTATGTGTTCAAATAAATAAATAAATAAATAAAATTGGAAAAGTAGATATTTCTATCAATTCTTTAAGAAGATGTACTTCAATAATTTAACGAAAGCTTTCATTATCAAGTAACGTCAACAGAGAAGTCTCTGTAAACACATGTAATCGATATGTACAGTTGTCTTATTTAAAATTTATGTATAATTAACATGTAAGACATGATGAAAACTAAACAAGTCTTATAGATATCATTACCAAGGTTTGATTTGATAATTTCGAATAAATTGAGCATTCGGATCAGATCAAATTATCCAAGTGTAAATGCAATTGTTACAATCAGATTTGGTTATTTATTCTTTAAAGAAGTTGCTTACAATGAATCACAAACCGTCAAAAAATTTAATTTTTCTACTCATTGGAATATTACAAATACATTCAGTCAGTCAGATCAGTCAGCATTAATGTAGAACTTCGTACGTACGTACATCAGTTCGAGTTACTAAGCCACATTAGCACAGAGATATAATTGTCGATTCAAATACAATAGTGGTAGAGGTGGTAAAAGTATAAGCAGTAATATATATATATATATATATATATATATATATATATATATATATATATATATATATATATATATATATATATATATATACAATAGGACGTAACGGCCGTCCAGTGCTTCCAGATTTCCCAAGGTGGTCTTGCTTCAACTGACTAATGATCTTAACCACTGAGATTTATTTATAAATGAGTATTAATTTTTACAAACATCAATGTTACAATTGACCCAATAGGTAGAAAAAACAACTTTCTGTGCTTCATATTTACTAACAACATTATTCAGTTCATGGTATTAATTAACCTTCATTAGTTATTATCAGTAAACAGTAACTAGATTTCATACAATACAATTAATTATATAATTCAATAAAATTCATATCTTATCACATGTATTAAATTATTTATTGTATTAGTTTTGTTATCAGCTAGCTTTATATTGATCATAATTAATTTCTACCATAAACCATGGTCATTTAATCTTATTCAGCAGAGAACATGTGAAAATTAAGTATGTTAAAACACTATTGGAAATCATAAATAAATTGTTTGTTTGTTTTTTAGATGGTGGTTGGAGGTAGTCGACAGGAAACCTTGCACACGGGTTTCGTACTACTTGGCACTCATCAGCAAGGTGTACCTGTAATCTTGAGGGAACTGGTGCTCCCTGACGGATTCAATCCCGTGTCATCCAGCTTCACAGTCACAGACGTCACCACTGAGCTATCTGGGCCGTGACCGACCTCCTGTAGGACCGTGATGTAATCACAATTGATTGATCACTGGGTGATGATCAGTCAATTGTTTTTTGTCGTTGTTGCTTTTGTCATGAATTAGTGAAATAGTATGAAGATATTTATTATTTATGATTGTTTATTTACAATTCAGTGATTATACTCAATAAATTAACATGACATCGATTATAAAGATTTCATTTATTTAAAGAACATAATTCTTAATCATTTCACTATGGGTAGTTTTTTTCTTTCAACTTCTGAATACATACTTCCACTATTCTGTAAGATGGTAGTTGGAGGTAATCAACAGGAAACCTTGTTGGGCCCGGATAGCCAAATGGTAACGTCTCTGGTTGTGAATCTGGGTGATTTGGGATCGACTCTGTCAGGGGGCACCAGTTCTCTCAAGATTACAGGTACACCTTGCTGATAAATGCCAAATAGCACGAAACCTGGGTGAAAAAACAGCGTTTCGTGTTGACTTCCTCCAAACATCACCTTATCTTAACATATTGCACGCAATGTCGAGTCAACTAGACTAGTGGCCACATTGCAACTTAGTCGATAGCATTCGATCTGCACTAAGAAGGACCTAACATATATGAAATGGATCACTATCAAGCGATCGATCAATTGTGGATAACTATTCTGTGTACATCGTTGGTTGGCATTATGCCAAATTAGATTTTACACTTAAAGTTTTAGGAATAAGCAGAAGATTGAAACTAACGCAAAAAATCTACCTAAAAAGAATGCAAGAAAAAACAGATTTAAGAAAAAATTAACTACAGTCAGTAATAATCGTTGATCAGATTAAGGAGATATCATAATTAGAAAATCATTTCGTTTAGTTGAATTCAAGTTAATAAGTAGTGATTCTGGATTTATCTGATTGGATTTATTTATATATGCGGTGGACTAAACAAGTCAGATGTTCATTCTCATATTATTACTTTTTGGACTATTTATTTTCTTTAATCGTATATATAATCAAATCTGTCATTTGAAAAGTTGTTTCAGTCACACTTTATCTTCAGTTTAATTGATAACTCTATCTGAACAGTTTGACAATATAGACAGCATAGGGAAAAACTGACTATCTATATGTAGGACGGTATTCTTTGATATTGAATAGTTGATTTCTTTTCTGTTTTTCTTAACTATAAAGTATAATCACCTTACTCAAAAACTGCACGATTAAGTTGTTTTGTGAAATTCAATCAATACTGAGAATTACCCGATATAACAGTGTATAACTGATCAACAAGTAAGCAGTATCAATGAATGTGAGTTCAAAAGCAATAAAGGGGAACGACACAGAAGTTACAATAAATACATTAGTTTTAATTTCTTACTACTACTACTAACAATAATAATAAATGAGTAGATTCACACTAGAAATTATAGGTTCGATTCCCTGTGGTAATGTCGTGGATGCGCATTGATGAGGAGTCACATACTGGAACAAAACAGATTTCTATAGATTCACAACTTTACATAGTAGTCTTACTAAGATTAATCTACAAAACCCTTATACTATTAGATATAAAATAAATAGAAGTAGTGTGGTGTCTGTTGACATAAGTAGTATGCAACACCAACCAAAGTTGAATAGCTGGCAGCAGGAGGTTAAGAAGATCGAATTGAAGTAAATAGAAAGGAATTGTGAAATGGAAGCATCATACAGAATATAAAGAACAATTGATGAAATATTTGCCAATGAAGTATTTAAAGTATGGTTCTCATATTTTACTGAGATATTCTATAGTTTTGTAAGAATAAACAATAAATTGGTCATCCTCACCTAAGCTCTCGTTCACTACCGTAATATTCATCACATTAATACTATTTCTAATATCATTTAAAATGGTGATCTGTCTGAAAAGAAAAACTATCATATTTATGTAATTACTTTTGACAAATATAAGACAGTATTACAATTAACAAGTATAATCACGAGAAAAGATAATTCAGTTACCATGATTATAAAATACCAACTTCACGAAACTACTTCTAAATTATAGACACTAAGTATTTTAAGAAGTATTTGTTCTTTACTTAGTTTGAATACAAGACGCTATTGTTAAGAGTTCATATCGTTTAGACAATGCTTCAGGGTTATTATCAATATTGATCTAGTTCTTGTCTATGTATTCAATTTAAACTTAATCGAATTATTTTAGAATTAACTAACCTATTTATGTATCCATGAATTTCTTTTTTGAAATGAAGATTAAATAGGTTTACATCGAGGAATATTAAGAATTTAAATATCACGAGAAAGATATTTTATTATCAAAATAGGGGTTTGTGGAGATTGTAGTAAGTTAATAGTTGCATTTGAGT